AAAAAATATTTATTAAATGGGTTTACTCTAGATTGCATAGTCATCGACAAATGTGTGTGTGTGTGTGTGTGTGTATTGACCCAAAAGCTGAATAACTTATAACTAATAATTAATAGATTAATACCTACTAAAGTTTTCTATTCTGATAAATATTTTGTAGAACCCGCTGTACGGAGGAAACGACATGTACCGAACAACAGGAATGGAGCACTGAAGGACCAAAAGTCACTAGACAAAAGTTAGACAAAAGTTAGCTAGATTCTCTCACTCAATAATTAAATACATTATTTACAAACTTTGTGACATTTAATTACATTAATTAATATACCTCCGTAATCCGCAAATGAGGAGGAATCGAATCGTACAGGTAGAATTGGATTTTAATCCAATTTATCACTTAAAACAAAGTCTTTTATACTTCAGGGCGGCGCCCATTGTCGACTTTTTATTTTGCGAATATCTTGCAAACTATTGATCCGCAAATAAAAATTCAAGTGGAGGATAAATCCGCAAACAAGGAGGAATCGTTTAAGCCCTGAATGGGTGCAAAATATTAATATTTAATATTTACAGGCGCCAACTTCACAAGTCTCAGAAGATACGCTTTGTACAATGTTTTTTTTAATATCCTGTAAGTGTATAACGATAGTGTCAATAAGTGATACGTAACAAAATTTTTGTATCCATTCGATAAGTTACATTTGTCTGTGGAAGAGGTTGCACTTGTTAATATAAGTTTTGTTTTGTTTTTAATTTTTTGTACATTATGTAAGTGCATGTACAACGATAGTGTCCAGTGTTGAAAATTTATTGTGTGTATACGACACGTTATATTTGTCGATGAATGAAATTACACTTGATATAATTGTAAGTAGGTAAACCATGGCGGTTCTGGCACCCTCCAGCTCCCCCCTTAGGTATCGGTAGGGGGAGAGGCTCTAGCTGTAGCTGTGGGTGGAAAAGAGGCGGTAAAGGAGAGGCGGTAGTGGGGGGAGCGGCTGATCGGGCGGTAGAGGAGAGGTGGTGGTGGGGGAGAGGCTGAAAGGGCGGTGGGAGGAGGGGCACGGGCGGTAGGGGCGGTGGGTGGTGCGGACTACTCGGATGGTAACGTCAGGGGAAGGGGGCCTCTTCCGGATGCTGTGACGTTGGATGGTACTGACAGCTCCCTTCCTTTCCGATCGCGTATCAAGCTCCGACGTCATCAGGATGGGTGCGAAAGGTGTAGGTGTGACAAGCCCAACGTACAGCGCGAGAGGAAGATGATCAAACATGAACGTGTATTTCTTATCAGTGGATGTAGCGGATCGCGTATCCCGTTTAGCTGCGACCAACGTTGGCTTACTCAACGCAGTACCTTGCCAAGGAATTCAGCCAGCTTATGAATTTAAGTTTAAGATTTTTAGGATAGTATGTAAATGGGTTTCAATAATAACAAAACTTTAAATTTAATACACATACATTTTTGCTAGCTTAAAAAAAAAATACACAAGAATTTCATGGTTATTGATCTTTTTTTTTCAATATATCATATCCATCTTTATTTGGATGAGAGCGAATATTTTCGGAATAATAATTTCCCCTTCACTTTTGGTTGAGATGCCTCAACGTTCTTTACTAAAAGAGGTTTTCGGCTATTTTTATCTTCCTCCTCCTCCTTCTTACTAAGGCTCTCATATTTTGGTTTGCTAAAGATCGGAGATCGGATCCATGTTATTGATGTTGCCTGATCTATCGTCACAAGGTAACTGAAGCAATACGCAAATTCTCATCAGCTTATAAGACGGCGCTAATTTCTTTGTACTACCACACGGCAAGATGTACTTTAATTTTTTGATCTTAAATTTTATGCTTACTTTACTCTTTTTTTTTTTTGCCTACACACAGTCATCGTTTTTGACACCAACATTTGTATCAGTTTCAGAGTCACTATCAGTATCAGTATCAGTATCATTAGCATTAATTCCATCAACAGTATCCCAACTGGGAAGCGTTTTAAAAAATTTCTTCTTATAACTATTAAGCGCGTCTAAAAAACATTCTGAGTCTGGTTCAATGCTACTTTCCACCAAAGAGCAAAGCCACAATTTTATTTGATGAGCTTTACTAAGTGCGCAATATTGCTGTCTACGTAGACTTTTTTGTACATCATGAGTACTACACATTAACGCCTTTGTTAAATATTCCATATAAAGAATGTGACGCGATGGCACCATATACTGCTGAATGTTAATCACAGTACACTCTATGGTTGATTCCAAATAAGTGGCTGTATTATCTTTATAAACGTAAATTCGATGTGCATTTTTTGCTACAGTGTACAAATGTTTCTGTAACTTTCTAATGGAACAATCACCCTCAAACCAGCGAAGTCCATGCACTCGCTTCGACTGAAAGTCGTTGTTTTGGCGCACATCCATAGGTAAGGGGAAAAATTGCACGGGGGCCGCACAATCCAATGACTGATCGCTGGTCTCATAAGCGACACCACAGCCACTTCTTTTGTTAAAAACTA